AGAGCTCAGGGCTTCTGTTCTCGTGGTTGGGAGTTCGATTCCCCACTGGGCCTCCTTGACAAGAGCTGGACACGATGCTCCATAGGGTCCCTTTCCAGCTCTACAGTTCTCAGGTTACTATTCTACTTTTTGGGGGGCTGGTCTGGAGCGATTCCCTGACAGATGTAAGAGAGAAGGCTCCAGTTCACGGGACCCTTTCCAGGGTGGCCAGAGCCTGCCGGTCATCATCTGCAGCACTTTGCAGGAGATGGCTGTCTTAGTCTAATGTGGAGAGGAAAATGGCAAAGGGTTTCCTGGCGTCTTAAAGATGGCATAAATTTGTTTGGCTCCCTCTTTTGATGGACTTGAGGTCCCTTCCTCAGACGCTTCTCCTTCCCTGTGTAGGAAGGAGCCTGAGATTTGTGCATGACCTCCCTTGGCCGTCCCGTGGAATCCCCTCTGAGACATCCTTTATTCTTCCTTACGTTTTATAGGCCGATCTGTTCAGTTCAGCCAATTGACTTGAATTTCTTGGAGGAGCCGGTAGAAAATGGTCCCGCCAACAAAATTGAGATCAGCATGGACTGCATTCGGATGCAGGACTCGGACATCGGTGATCCGATGTGGGTAAGTGGGTGTTGCATGGGGGGGGGTGTCTCAGAGACGGAGGCTGGCTCCTTAAATGAATCGCATTTCCAAAAAAAGACAAGCCAGGCTGAAGTGAATCTGGATTTGCAAAGTTGTATGTGTGTTTGTACCCTTCATGGATTGCAGCCTTGATGTGGCGAAGGGGCTTGAGTCATTCAGAGAAGTTATGGGCTATGCCGTGCAGGGACACCCAAGACGGACAGGTCATAGTGGAGAATACATCATGCGAAAGGCCAGACTGGATGAATCCCAAGCCGGAATTAAGATTGCCGGAAGAAATATCAATAACCTCTGATATGCAGATGATACCGTTCTGATGGCAGAAAGGGAGGAGGAATTAAAGAACCTCCTAATGAGGGTGAAAGAGGAGAGTGCAAAAAATTGTCTGAAGCTCAATATCAAAAAAACTAAGATCATGGCTACTGGTCCCATCACCTCCTGGGAAATAGAAGGGGAAGATATGGAGG